CTGCCCTCAGCTCCAGCCAGTTGATGCTGTGGGCAGCCTCCCTCTGAGTCCACTGGCCCTGGGCGAGTTGACCCTGACAGTGGGCGCCCCACCCCAAAAGGCTGGCGTCCGTGGTCACAACTACCCTCTCTGGTTCTTTGAACAGGCAGCCCTTCACGACCGCCTTGGACCTCCACCAGGACAGCGATTGGACTACCTTTCGCGGGAGGCGCACATGCCTGTGGGAGTTGCTGGTTTTCGCTCTCTGCATGGGAAGGAGAAACCATTGCAGTTCCCTGGCATGCAGTCTGGCCCAGGTAACCACCTTCAGACAGGATATCATGATCCCCAGGAGCTGGGACAGCTGGATGATCGGCACCAACCTGGACTGACAGCAGTGCTTCACCTTGCTATTCAGGTTTCCCAGACAGTCTGCGGACAAGAAGATCTGAGAGGACACCGAGTTGATGATGGCTCCCAGGTGCTGAATCCAGGTGGTTGGCCAGAACTGGCTCTTCTCCATGTAGACAGAGAACCCATGTCGCTGTAGCGTCTGAACCGTCAGCGTGACATTGTGTTGCGCCTGCTCTGGTGTGACAGAATGTATAATTATATCATCCAAATAACATTCCAGACGGACAGGGTGGTTGCGGAGATGGGCCGCTACCACCACCAGAATCTTGGTGAATGTCCTGGGTGCAGACGAGAGCCCGAAAGGAAGCGCCTTGTACTGGTAGTGCTTGCCTTATGAACAAAACCTCAGGAACCTCCTGTGGGCAGCATGGATGGGGACATGCAGGTAGGCCTCCTTCAGATCTATGGATGTCATTAGATCTCCCTTCCTTACGCAATCCAGGATGGAGTGAAGGGACTGCATCTTGAAACTCTTGTAAGCCAGATGCTGATTCAGGCTTTTCAGGTCCAAGATGGCCCTCCACCCCCCTGAGCTGTTCGGGACCAGGAACAGGATGGAATAGAATCCCCTCCCCTCCTGGTCCTTTGGCACTGGTTCTATGGCCTCTATCTGGAGAAGATGGAGTATCTCTGCCTGCATTAGTCCCCTCTTTACTGGGTTCCTGGAAATGGGGCAACGGATGAACTTCCTCTGAGGGAATGTTAGAAACTCTAGGAGTAGGCCCCTCCTGATGGTGTTGAGGACCCATGAGTCCGAGGTGATCTCCTCCCACCTGTCGGCATACAGCTGCAGCCGACCCCCTATGGGAGGCACCCTGTGATGGTCACTTCCCCCTGCGGAATGGACGGGAGTTGTTGCCACTGTTGCCCCCGCGAAATGGCTTCCAAAAGGAAGACTGCTGCTATCTGCTACGGGACCCGAAGGATGCCCTATCTTGATGCCTATCACCCCCCTGCTGAAATGGCCTCTGGTAGGAGGAAGAAGAGGGAGCTGAACCAGCCTCCTGGTTCCTAAATGATTGCTTACGAAAGGAACCAGAACCTTTACGATCGTTCCTTTTCAAGGTGGCCGGGAGGACCTTCCATTTTTCTTTGGTTTCGATGACAAACTTGTCCAGGGTCTCCCCGAACAACTGCCCTCCCTTGAAGGGGGCAGAAGCCAACTTCCATTTGGCTTTCATCTCGGCTTGCCAGTGTCGAAGCCACAGAAGGCGGCAAGATGTGATATTGGACGCTAGCGCCCTAGAGGCAAACTTCGCAGCATTCAGCGAAACATCAGCCGGGTATTCAATGGCTGCAATAATCTTGGTGAGCTCGTGACGCCACCTAGACTTACTGGGGGGAGGCTTGGATCTGAGTTGTCTCAGCCAGAATAAGGATGCCCTGGTGAAAAAGGAGGCAGAATTGGAGGCCTTAATGGCCCAGGCAGACGCCATATGAGTTTTATGACACGCCTTCTCCGACCTCTTGTCCTCGGCCTTCAGACATTCCAGCAGGTCCGCAGGCAGGTTAGAATTGGATGTTAATGACACCACAGGGGCATCTACCTCTGGAAACTTTAAAATGTCTTCCATTTTTTCCTCCACAGAATAACTTATCCCCCCCCACTAGGGTTGGTCAGGGCGCCGGGCTGGACCCATTGACGCCGGACCACATCCACAAAGAGGTCAGGCACAGGAATAAGCTCCTGGGTAGGAACCATTTCCTTAAACAGACCATGTTTATGGTCCTTGGATGCAGCCGAGGCCTGATTAGAATCAGATTTGGGGGTAGAGCCTAGCTCAGTTGCCGCCATGGCCTTGTGTAGTATAGACTTAAACAAGGATGGCTTTAAAAGACCAGTGAAGGCAGGCTTGTCAGGGGGCAGGTCCTCGTCCTCTGAGAGTACAAACCCCTCAGCCCCTTCCACCTCTGAGCTAGAGGATTCAGAGACAGATGACGTGGAAGGGGAGACTGGCTCCTTGGATGTGGAGGCCTTAGCTTGATGCTTGACCTTGGAAGACCTGGATTTCCGGGAGTCTCTCTGCTTAATGCCCTCCACGATGCCTTGGGAGATGGCCAGAGAGATCACCTCCCTCATTTCAGCTGACAATACTGGGCTCTTGCCCTCCCTCAGGCGATGCTTGCTGGTGTGCCCATGGCTCCTAGCCCTGCCTGAATTGGAGTCCCCTCCCTGTGGTAATATGCTCTGGAAGGAGTCACGTTCCTCCCTGATAGAGGAACTGGGTGAATCAGGATAGCCCCAGGAGGCCTCTGGTGAGGGATCTCTGGACTCATAATCCTCTACAGAGGGAGACCTACTGCCCCTTGGAGAAGGATCCCCGTGATCTGGGGAAGAAGGCTCCTTGTGGTGGTGAGGGGCTAAAGGCTCTGCCACCTTATGGGGACGAGATGCCTCTCTGGTCTCCTCAGGTGGTGTTGATGACCCCTGGGGTGACTTTTTACCAGTGCCCTTACTCCCTTTTCCCTTTTTGGGCAGGGGATCCATCCTGCTTCGCTTGCTGGAGGGCCCTGCTAGCTCCTCCTGCAGCTCCCTGCATTCCTCAGTCATGCTGCCTGAGCCCAAGGGAAGGTCTGGAATGGTGATGCTGCAAAGGAAGGGCACCCATGCTGGCCCACTGGATCAAGCGTGATCGCAGATGCTTCAGGAGGGAAAGGGCCGCCTGATGGACGGAGTCCTTCCCCTCACCGCCCTCGGCTCCCCGAGACTTAGCTGAAGGAGGAGAAAGGCTAGCCGGCGCCCCAGACTAGCCCCGCACCCCCGGCGGCACTCTACGGCTGAGAGAAGGTGAGATTCGCTGCTCCCTGCTTGTTCCTTCGGTCTTCGCTCTCCGGAGCTCCCGAACGTCCGCACGTGACGACAGGCCTCTTCGGAGTGACCTAAAAAAGGGCGGCGGGTGCGCGCGCAGCCGCCTCCCGCCAATTCTGCTGTCACTCAGTGGACTGAGTTTTTAAACTGGACATGGAGAGGCAAAGGGAGGCGTGGTCAAGAAGATCATTACTTAGTCCAAGGGCAGATAGGCTGTGTTAGCCCACGCTTGGACTCTCCAAGCAGCGCACTGGCGAAGAGACTGTCATTTGACAGGGCAAGCCACTAGAATACGTGTGTCAAACTCGCAGCGTCACATTGCCGTCACGTGACGTTTTGCAATGTTTTTTCCCTTTGTGGAGCTGGGGTGGGCATGGCCTGCACGCGTCGCATCCGGCTTGCGGGATGCCAGTTTTACACCCCTGCACTAGAATATAAACAGCAAACCTCAATTCTTGCACTGATGATGTTAAGTGGTTTGGGTAATGAAACTGCAAGAAAACAACCAAGTTCAAAGAGCATCAAGTCATTCCAAACCTCAACTACAGATATTCTTTATTGAGACTGTCATTTTAGCTTGTAATTTTAGGACACTGATCAATTACATTGTGATATAGGTATGTGTAGGTAAATGGGCTTTTATGAATTTCATTTATAAAGCTTGGCTAAAGTTAATTCTTAGATACATTTAACTGGAATATCTACTTTAAATTATATAAGATATATGTAATAAACATTGGTTGTAGTAACACATAGTCATACAGTGGCTTATCTGGTTCCCAAAACACATTGTCATAAACCATGACTTATTTGCCACAATGACTAGTTTATGTAATTTGCTAAGTCAAAATCAGATGAACCATATTACTGCTTAGTATGATATAGGAACCCATTCTGTATTCTGTAAGAGAATTTTTATTTGTATCAAATTGTGCAATTTGATAAAAGGGAAGATCCTTGCAGCTCAGCTCTGGATTGTTGACTCTGGAAGATAGTAAATGGTTGATTGTATGGTGGTGTTAAATAATAAAAGCCATCTATAAAATTATATAAAAGTGGTTTCTTAATACTGAATAATTATGATTCCACAGCACTGAATTTGGATTGTAATATTTGAACCAGTGGTGGGTTGCAGGCAGTACGCCCCGGTACGGGCGTACTGGAGCCTGCCTGGAGCACCGGATACTGTTCCGGTATGGTGATCCAGAGGGCCCACCCACCCGCCCAAGCTCCTTACCGGTCTTTTAAGTCTTTGGAGCTTACACGCACGGCGCGTACAGCACCTGCACGACGCTCCACTGAGCAGCTGGAGCATCACGGAGGCTTGCGGAGGCGCTAAGACTGATTGGAATGGGATCCAGAACCCACCACTGATTTGAACATTGCTGAAATTAAAGCCTTGCTGAACTCGAAATCTGACTGAGAAACCTAAAGCAGACCCTGTCTTTGTCAAAGGGTGCTTAAGGATAAAACCAGAAGGCATTATGTAACCCACCTTGGGCATTTGTGTAGGTGTGGGGAAGTTTTACGAAGTAAGTTTTACAGCAAGTTAAACTCAAGCCTTCAGATGAGCAATACTGAAAAATTGTACGTATGTTCCCTAAAGAGGACATAATTCACATATTCATGCAGAATGGTGAAAAGGAAAATAAAAGATAGGAAAGTATAAACTAATTGTGGTAATACTAGTGAAATATCTAAGCTGAATTTAACTCAGAACATTTGGATGGCTACACTGTTAGCTTCCTTGTTGAAAGTCTTTAAAATTAATATCATAACACTGTTTTCCCCTTTCTAGTTCCATCATGGAGGGACCACACAGTAGAGCCCCTGAGACAACTGAATCCTCCTGAACTTTTAGAGGTATGTAAGCCAATAGCTTTACAGCAAGAATTGAGCTACATGTGCTAGGTATAATTGCTGATGTAGAACAGTGGTGGGTTCCGGATCCCGTTGCAACCGTACTGGGCCCGGTGTCCACTAGATGAACGTGCACAGTGTGCACATGCGTCCTTACCTCTTGCGACGCCTCCGCAACGCTCCAGCTGCTCAGTGGAGCGTCACGCAGGAGCCATGCTCTGCATGCACGGAAGCACCGAAGAGCTCAAATACAGGTAAGGAGCTCAGGCGGGCGGGTGGGCCCTCCGGAGCACCGTACCGGAATGGTACCCAGTGCTCTAGGCAAGCACCAGTATGCCTGTACCGGGGCGTACTGCCTGCAACCCACCACTGATGTAGAATAGGTGGCCTAGGAAGCTGTTCTGGAAGGAGAAATGTATAGTTTCTATATTTGCCAGTGAACTGTCAACAACTATGACATACTTCGCATTTTTAAACCACACTGTCCTTAGATTAACCAGATATTCATTGCAACTATTATGGAAGCATACATTGAAATATCAGACAAAATGGGCAATCTCTGTTATATATGCTCGGGTAAACTTTGTAATGCTTATCTCATGTGGAGTGGCAACATAGTGGCTATGGGTTACACATTTTGAGGGCCCCCTGAAGCCCTACAAAATCTTGATGGCAAATTGTTTTTTTACAATGGCACAATTTATCACCTAAAATTAAATACCAAAATTAATTCATTGAGCCTCTGATAAATTCAGCGCACTTCTAAATAACCTCCCAGATATACTTCTCCAAAAGTGTTCAGAATTCTGGATCCATATCCTCTAGTGACATGCTGACATGTTCTCTGCAGTCCAAAGAATAGTTAAAAAGCAAAGCCTTGTACTCTACATAATAAAACTGTTTAGAATTTTAGTGTGTTATGGTGGTTTTTTGAGTTTGCAAATTATATCTAGCCTTCAGTATAAAACAGGTAATTTCCTAATCTGAACAAAGCAGGGTTTCTTGTACTGAGAGTTATTTTCATGAGAATGTTAAGCAGCCACTTTGTCTTGGCTCAGTATTTTCAAAGCGGTCCATCAGCCTACTTGATTCCCAAGGGAAGTATTTCAGGAAAACTTCACAGGGTTTATTGACATGCTATAGTGTTGGATGAGACAATTCTTATTTTTAATTGTCAAATAAAGAAAACTCTCCAGAGGAGTCTTGTAGATGAAGAACATTTTAGCATTTAGTTTCCAGGGCCTCGGTTGCTAATATTAATTGACAGTCTATATTTTTTATCTTTCAATCCTATTTAGATTTTATTTGTCCTGCCAAGCAGGTGCAAAAAAAATTCCAATGTCTCAATCCTGCCTATTCATGTGGGCAATTGAATGGTGATTCTGCAAAACACTTATTTTTGTTGTGGGTTTTCATCCTTTATCAGGCCTGACCATCCTTTTTTTTAGCCAGTAACTATGGAGGGGAGGGGCAAGATTTGATTTCTGAGCACTGAGTTGGAAGTATTAGGGTCTTTGTGATCACCAAAAGAAGTGAACATAGCTTTTGAAATTAATTGTTGAACTTAAAAATGAATTTGATAGGTTATTTCTACTTAAGGCTTTTTCTGTTTGTTTTCTTCTAAAAAGACTGCAGGCAAAAGATTGAAAACTGTCAAATTTTGGTGGAATGACCTTGAGGGATTCTACAATATAAAGTTGGGGGCAGGATGTGGGCCTTTGGGGCCTTTTGTTGCCATAAGGACTGGCTACAATAATTTTCAAAACCAAAATGAATATACTACTAATACCATCACAGCATTTCAAAGAGGAATGAAAGAAGGACCAACTTCAAAATCCCTGTAGTAATATAAGCATTTCAATTTTGATAAAAATTAATCCAATCGTGCCCCTCAACTAGTACTATTTTGCAAGCAGTACCTGTGAGAATGTGTCTATTATTCACACTTGAGGGAAGTGATACGAGGGGCTTAACCACTATCATTTAAATAAAACATAGACTGTCAAATGAAAGATTGATTTGCAGAGTTATAACATCTATATTTGGAACTGCTTAGAGTAATTAACTTATCCCGTTTCCACAACTAACCTAACTTTTGCTTATTTTTCTGTGTTTTCAAACTTTGCTTCCTGAACAAACATCTTTAGATGAGTCATTTTTTTGACAGTATTGTGTTTATAAACAGTGATGGGAAAAGTAATAAGCAATAATATCTTAATAAATAGATTTTTTCCATTGGTGTTGCAAAGATATAAAGAGTGTATCAGGCCTCCCAAAAGAAAAGTTGGCAGTCACTCCTGAACACCTTCAGTTCCCATTTCCTTTTACCCTAGGATAACACATTATAAAATGAAGTTTAAATCCTCTTCTTATGAACATGTGGCACATAGCATGGCTGACTTGAATGTTTTCCGTCAGAAAATGGAAAGAGAAGAAACTCGGATACAGCACATGTTACCTATATACAGTGCATTCAGAAAGTATTCAGATCCCTTTCACTTTTGTCAATTTTGTTATGCTGCAGCCTGATTCTACAGTTGTTGAAATTCATTTTTTGCCCATTAATCTACATTCACTACCCCATAATGACAAAGTGAAAACATAATTTAGTGTGTTTAGTGTTTATTATACTTGTATGCCGCCCTATTCCCGAGGGACTCAGGGCGGCTAACAAACAGGTGGGGGAGGGGGAAATACAAAAAACAAACCAGACAAAAACAAGATACAAGAACAGATTAAAACTACACAACTATTGCAACAATTCAAGTGGGGCTGGGAACTCATCAGCCCCAGGCCTGCCGGAACAGCCAGGTCTTGACGGCTTTGTGGAAAGCCTGAAGGGTGGTGAGGGTCCGAATCTCCACGGGGAGATCGTTCCAGAGGGCCGGAGCAGCCACAGAGAAGGCCCTCCCCCTGGGGGTCGACAGTTGACATTGGCTAGCTGATGGTATCCGGAGGAGGCCTAATCTGTGGAATCTGATTGGTCGTAGGGAGGTAATTGGCAGGAGGCGGTCTCTCAAGTACCCAGGTCCAATATCATGTAGGGCTTTAAAAGTAACGACTAGCACCTTGAAGCGCGTCCGGAGTCCAACAGGCAGCCAGTGCAGCTCACGGAGGATAGGTGTAACGTGGGTGTACCGAGGTGCACCCACAACTGCTTGCGCGGCTGCATTCTGGACAAGCTGAAGTCTCCAAATGCTCTTCAAGGGCTGCCCCATGTAGAGCGCATTACAGTAGTCCAGTCTTGAGGTCACAAGGGCGTGAGTGACTGTTCTGAGAGCCTCCTGGTTCAGGTAGGGACGCAATTGGTGCACCAGGCGAACCTGGGCAAATGTCCCCCTGGTCACAGCCAACAGATGATGTTCTAAAGTCAGCTGTGGGTCCAGGAGGACTCCCAAATTGCGAACCCTGTCTGAGGGGCGTATAATTTCACCCCCCAGCCTGAGAGATGGAATACAGGGCATTTTAGAAATGCCTGTAAATTTATTAAAAAGAAAAAACTGAAATATCACATTGGTATAAGTATTCAGTCCCTTTGCAACAACACTTGAAATTTAGCCTGGTGCCTCCCATTTCTCTTGATCATTGCTGACATGTTTCCACACCTTGATTGGACATTATTTAGAAAGGCACACACCTCTCTATAGAAGGCCTCACAGCTGACAATGCATACTGTAGCAGAGCAAAAGCCATGAGGTCAAAGAAACTGTCTGCAGAGCTCAGAGACAGGATTATTACAAGGCACAAATCTGGGGAAGGCTACAATAAAATTTCTGCTGCATTGAAGATCACGGTAGCCTCCATAATTCCCAAATGGAAGTTTGGCACAAGACTCTTACAAGAGCGGGTTTCCCGGTCAAACTGAGCAATTGGGAGAAGGACCTTAGTAAGAGAGTTGACCAAGAACCCAATGGTCACTCTGGCTGAGCTCCAAAGATCCTGTGTGGAGATGGGACAGAGTTCTAGAAGGACAACCATCATTGCAGCCCACCAATCTGGCTTTATGGCAGAGTGGCTAGATGGAAGCCTCTCCTTGGTGCAAAACACCTGAGGGACACTCAGACTGTGAGGATTCTTTGGTCTGGTGAAACAAAGATTGAACTGTTTGGCCTCAATTCTAAACATGTCTGGAGGAAACCAGACACCGCTCATCACCTGTCCAATATCATCCCAACAGTAAAGTACAGTGGTGGCAGCATCATGCTGTGGGGGTGTTTTTCAGCAGCAAGGACTGGGACACTGGTCAGGGTTGAGGGGAAAATGAATGTAGCAAAGTACAGGGTTATCCTCAATGAAAACCTGTTCCACAGTGCTCAGGACCTCAGACTGGGCTGAAGGTTCACTTTCCAACATGACACCGATCCTAAGCACACAGCCAAGACAACACAGGAGTGGCTTAGGGAAACACTGTGAATGTCCTAGAGTTGTCCAGTCAGAGCCCTGACTTGAACCCCATTGAACATCTCTGGAGGGACCGGAAAATGGCTGTCCACCAACAGTCGCCATCCCACCTGACTGAGTTTGAGAGGATTTGCAAGGAAGAATGGCAGAAAATCCCCCAATCCAAGTGTGCAAAGCTTGTCGCGTCATACCCAAAAAGACTCCAGGCTGTAATTGCTGCCAAAGGTGCTTCAACAAAGTACTGAGTGAAGAGTCTGAATACTTAATGCTAATGTGATCTTTCAGTTTTTTCTTTTTAATAAATTTACAGACATTTCTAAAATTCTGTTTTCAGTTTGTCATTATGGTGTACTGAGTGTAGCTGAATGAGAAAATAAATAAATTTCAACAACTGTAGACTCAGACTGCAGCATAACAAAATTGACAAAAGTGAAGGGGGTCTGAATACTTTTTGAATGCACTGTGTGTATGTGCATATGTATGTGTGTATATGTGTGTGTGTATGTATGTATGTATGTATGTATGTATATATATATATATATATATATATATATATATATATATATATATATATATATATATATATATATATATATATATATATATATATATATATATATATATATATATATATATATATATATATATAAACTTTTCACAGAACTTAGAAGACAACGTCTTCTCCAAACGACATGCAAAGTTGGAGTTGGATGAGAAAAGGAGGAAAAGGTGAGTGATGAAATAAAGCTGTTTTACATGTCAGAAACTTCGGCAGCCACTTTTATTTAAACATTTAACAATTAACAGTACATAGAAGTATTGATTGCAAACAGTTAACAATGGGGTGTGTAATAATATGAAAGGTTTTGTGCAGTTGGCACATCTTATATCTTTTACCATTACAGATAGTCCTCGACTTACAAGCATAATGGAGCCTGCCCATTATGGTCACATGTCATGACAGCCGTTAAGTGAATCACCTGACTTAATGACTTCTCCATCCCTGCTCTCCCCAATGCAATTGTTAAACAAATGTGTGGGTTAAGTGGAACATGGGGTGCCTCAGGTGTGAGGCAGGCCCTTGGAGGCCTAGTGTAGGCCCAGGCCCACCTGCCCTGGGCCTCCAAATGCCTCCCCCACCTTTGAGGCACACTGTGCTCTGCTCCCTATCCCCCAGGGTTCCCCAGGCCTCATCCTGCTCCCAAGACGGCTATTGAGCCAGGCAAGAGAGCCTAAAGCCAGTCAGCAGAAGCAACTGGCACACACAGGGCGGTTACAGCCTGTAGCCTGAGGCCTACTTCCCATCTGGCCACCCAAGGCCTCCCCCAGCCTCTCAGGATTCCCCAGGCCTCAGCCTGCTCCTAAGACAGCTATTGAGCCAGGCAAAGGAGCCTAAAGATGGTCAACAGAACCAGCACATGGAAGGCTAATGCAAGCCTCAGTTTTCTTACAGAGACTGTCAACCTCATGGCATTCTCATGCTATTCTAGCAAGTAGTACTTCTCACAAGACTGCTGACCAGATTTAGGCTCCCTTGCCTGGCTGAGTGACTAGCTTGGGAGCAAGCCAAGACCTGGGGAGATGGGTGGGGGAGGTGGGAGGGGCTGCAGTGTTCCTGCGGTTGGTCTTAAAGGATGAAAAATGGTGAGGGCACTGCAGTGGCCATAACTTTGAAACTGCGTCATCAGTACCTTTTGGGGTGGTCTGTTGTAACTTTGAACAGTTGCTAAGCAACCGGTCATAAATTGAATACTACCTGTATGCATTTGTCTTCTGTGTGCTGAGTGGCTTTGGACTGAGACTTTTTTGCTTTTAGTTGAAGAAAGCATGAGTAGCAATTCCATCTAGCAAGTTATTAATAAGCAAGAGCATATTTTATGATTTGGCTGTAATACAAGGACTTGGGAGAACCTATAGAAATTGAGAAACATGTTTAATACAAAGAGGTGCATTACTCTTGACTTTGTTAAATGCTGGTTTTTCTAAAATACTCAGATTTGCCCACAAGTGAAATTTTGAGACTTTTCTGTTGTTGTTGTTGTTGTTGTTGTTGTTCCTTTGACTCCTCCACTCACAGGTGGGATATTCAGCGTATCCGGGAACAAAGAATCTTACAACGACTGCAACTTAGAATGTATAAAAAAACAGGAATTCAGGAATCTGAACCTGAAGTTGCCTCATTTTTCCCAGAGTCAGATGATGGTAAGTGGTTATCAAAGTTCTCATATCTTATGCACAGAGAATCTTGGATGATTCTATTGTAAAAACATATATTTTCAAATAAGTATATGTGAATGAACATTGTAGCTAAATATATAATGTTCCTCTCTTCCATTTCCTCTTAGTTGAAAGTTTGCTGATCACCCCATATTTGCCTGTTGTAGCATTTGGTCGACCATTACCAAAATTAACCACACAGTAAGTATACCAACGTATTATATATAGCTGCATTAAGGTAGAATGTATTTTGTAAAAGTTGTGGGAGAGCTATTTTGTTTCTGCTTAAGCAGTGTTTTGTTTGCTTGGTTATTTTGTAGACAGACTTGGGTTTCACTGTGATGAGAGAATGCCAATTCAATACTTTACTAAATATCATACAGTACTTTACTTTTATACTTTACTAAAATAGCATTTAACCAATAGGAAATATGGAAATGGTTGAAGGCTCATTTGTAAATCCTGAGTCTCAGAAGTTGCTTGTTCACAGATTAAAAAAAGAAATACTTGTCACTATCAATCCTATCTCAGAGAAATATACTATTGTTTGTAAAATATGTTGTTTGCCAAATTACAATAGGGAACACTGAATTGTTCCCTTTTTAAAAATCTTCCACTTTCTAATTTTGTTGATGGATTCTCCCATCGTAATGGTGTCATAGAAATCACATTTCTGTGGCCTTATTACTTACATTGTTGAAGTCGTGGTGCACTTCCTTTCACATTGCAAAGGTAAGGAGGTGAAAATGTATTGATAAAATACTTTGAAAATAATTGGGGAAAATTGCTTTTACTTTTAGCGCCAATGAATTAAAATTCACTTTTTCATATTTTTTTCTGTTTCAGTTTTTTCTACAATTAATAGTGGTTGGCTTTACACATTGCACTAAGTCATAATGTGGTTGTTGAGGTTTCATCTTAGTGTTTTGTCTAGCTGCATTTGTTAGTTTGTAATTTGTTGCTTAAGGGATAGCAGGTGGTATAAACTCAACCAATTGTGATTTATTTAGCAAACATGATTTAACAGCACCCAATATTGTAGAAGAATGCTATTGATGAAACACTTTTCAGTAGCTAACGTTCAATGTCATCTATATTCAAATGTTATGCAAATTTTCAAGATTTTTTTTTTTTGTTTGTGTTTAATTTCTAGTATGATTTTTGCCACCAGGCATGTAGGCTTGCAGCCGAGTTACACAAATGTAGACATAACTGCTAACCCCTTTCTTCTCTTCACCATCACTAACAATTTTCTGTGGACCACTTTCTCTCTGGCAGGAACTTTGAACTGCCATGGCTGGATGAACGAAGTCGTTGCCGGCTAGAGATGCAGGAAAAAAAGACACCTCATCGAATGTGCAGGAAATAAGCATGTCAAACTAGGAGAAATCTGTCTTGATGGTTGGCCTGTGCTACATTTGCTACAAATGGCAGAAAACTATATATGTTTTGTTATGTCACTTTCTTCTACCATCCTCCATGATGTACACTGTTGTCCACTATAAATATTTTTATGCTTATGCTTTTTTTTTCTTTTTCCCCTGGAATTTTTTTCACTTTTTTTTCTTTTGCTTGATAGAAAGTATTGGAGGCTTGTGTTGAGAGAATAAAGTTAGCAATTTATGGTATGCCTCTGTTGCATTTTATTGGATAGCTGAAACAAATACAATCCACTGAGAAGCTATGAAAGATGGACAAGCATATAATGAAACATTTCCCATTTGTGAGTTCCTCACAAACATGAAATCCACCTCTGATTTTTACACATACGTTTGTGCGTGTGTATCTGTGTGTGTGTGTGTACAGTATGTGTATATATATATTTCTTAGGAATAATTTGCTAATTAAAGGCCTTGAAAATTTTCCCCTTCTCCGTTGGCTTTTCAAGGCCTTTTTATGGGTTCCTTTCATGCCTTCTGATCAAAATACAATTACTAATCAGGTCTTGAATTTCTAATATTGAATGCAGGTAGTTCTGGTAATGAAGGGCTGCATGCCTTCAAAACTTTGTCACAGTTCTGATAATTGGGCAAAATCCAGAATTAACCATACAATGCTAGTTTGTCTCTAGATGTTTTCCTGTTTTGTTTTCCCAGATATCCTGTCAAAACTGAAACAATTGCTATTGGTTTTTTTTTTTATTTGAACTGTTTTTCCCAATAGAAATACTGAGTAGTACCTATAACTTTAATTTGTGATTGTTTTAAAGTTTGACACTTTTAAAGCCAATCATAATCCTGTAACTTACAGTATGTGGAAATCAAAACTTCAATTCTTCCTTGAGAATAAGAAATTCCTTTGTAAACCTGCATGTCCTGCCTGAGCTACATAATTTTTTGAAGCTGTCTTTGTGTATTGCCTGCTTAGGATAATACTTTTTTTTTTTTGCAATCACTAAAATGTCTAGATAAAGGGGGGGGGAGTTTCAGTTTCCTGGATTGTAAAAAAAAAAAAAAGACCCTAATTTAGGTTATTTTCCTGCATCATTTACGAAGGACACTAAAAAAAAGTTTCATTTTTCCATTTTAATTGCCAGATGTTTCATAACAGTTGCAGTCCCACTTCTGGGTAATTTTCCCGGGGAATTTAAAATACTATTTTCCCACCAAAGGTAGCACACTTAGTATGAGCATTGTTGAAAGTTATATTCTGTGACTTCAAATTAAAACAACAGAACCTGTCTTCCATTGTAGTTGAAGTCGTGCAAAATGTTTGCCTGATTTGGGTTTTGAATAAAACTGTATTTGGATTTTTTGCTTTTTAACATGCCAGCATGTATGCATAAGTACTTGTTTTTTATGCCCTACAAGTGCAAGGGTGGGTGATTCAAAGAAGCAGACTTTGGTAGAAACTTCTTGAAGGCAATGTTGATTTTGGAACTTGATCTTGCTTTTTCTAAAGTAATTGGAAATGGGTCACAAGATCAGTTCTTGAATCTAGATTCCATTTTCAGAAGACATTGTTTCTGCTTGGCCCAAAATAAGACTATCAGAAATCTATTTGTGTTCTGAATCAAATTGCATATTTTCTCTTCCCTCCCCTCAATGAACAGATTGTTGACTCTTTCAGAAATACTTAGAAACAGTTATAACATGTACATCATAAAAAGATTAATAGGTATACAGAAAGTAGGTAGGATTTGTAGAGTTTGCAGTGAATATTAGCTGGGAATGGGCTGGAAAAAAATAGTTTCCCAACCTGTAGGGAGTTCAACATTTGAAAATTGTGTTAATGGGAAAAGCCAATGCAAATTAAACTGATTTAATTTTTTTTTCTTTAACCAAGTTTATGGTCATTCTAAAACTGCATAATTCCCTTCCCCTTGTTTTTATACCTTTTCAAATGTGGCTGTCTGCAGATGCATCCTTTTTTTATACCATTTTAGATATGTAAAATCAGTTGTCTTATATAAAGGAAAAAAGTTTATAAATACCAAAATTGTGGTGGTTAATGATTTTTTGTTTTTAAAATTGTTTTGCTTTGGTTCATTTGTACCAGTGTTAACAAGTGGTATTAAAAGAAAAATTCTGCTTGTATGTTTAAACAAAATTGAAATATTTTTATAATAAAATGAAAAGAATATTAATACTTTTGTCATGCAGTCTCATTTGACAGACTAGATACAGTTCTCAAATTCTATGCCTTTCCTATCATCCATTTAAAAAGTCATCTGACCATTGCTAGGATTGGACAGGGTTCTCTGTGCTGTCAATTCAACCACCTCTTTACTGGATCTGGGCATCTTGGAATCTTAAAAAGTGGCCAAGAAGGTGACCCATGGTTAGGTCTATCCTGTGGTGTCAGTCTCTCTTGAGGTAGGGGGTGATACTTCCAGCCTTGAAAGATGCTGGCACCCCCTCAAGAGGCCGTCCTTGAATCAAATTTTTTTGACAACTACCGAAGAGTCTCCAACCCTTCCCTCTTTTGGGGGGAGGTTGTTGAGAAGGTGGTAGAGATAACCTGATGAAAACCCTTCAGGATACATATAATCTAGTCTAAACTGTTTGCACAGCGCACTTGGGGCTGCCAGTGCCACCATGTTCCTTTTGATGTGTAGTCCCTATTGTGTGACTGGTTTTACTTTTGTAATCCCGTCTACTCAAATGAATATAAAACATTAATTCCCTTCTATACTAATTATCCGAGCACTGGAGTGAGTATTCCAAAGGGCAAGGGAGTTGGAAAAAGGAAAGCTGAAGTAAAATTCTTAGATGGCAAATAAAGGCCTAGTATGTAAAACTGATCAGTCTTGTTAATTACAGGCAGCAGCTGCCAGTGGGCTACCCAGTGCTGGGATAAGCATTCCAAAGGGCAGTGGAGTTTTTGGTTAATGACAGAGCTGCCAGTCCTAATTGTGTTTGCTAAACCAGGGCCAGATGCACCACGCCCACCCCAGCTCGTGACGGATGTATCCATCACGATACATCACATGACGGCAATGTGACACAGGAAGTTTGACACGTGCCTAGAGGAAATTATCTGGACTTGGAACAGATTGTGTAGTAAACAAGCTTTGTTAAGACCTGAGTGGGGGAAGTACAGTATTCCCATTCTCATCTGTTGACCTCCTAGCAGTTTCTGAGACTATCAACCATGATATTTTTATGGACTGTCTGTAGGGATTGGGAAGATGGTGCTGCTCTGCTCCTTCCTCAGGTAGGCAGTTCCACTCAGTATTGGGGCAAGAGAGATTAGCCCAATGGCTATTCCTTTGTGGGGTGCTGCAGGGGTCAGTTTTCTCCCATCTGTTTAACATTACATGAAGTTACTGGGAGACATCATCTGACAGTTTGAGGATCAATATCATTAATGTGGTTATATCAAACCTTGCTACCCCAGGCCAGACGGATGGTTATCACTGAAGTATTGCACCAGTGCCTGGAGTCTGTGAGGGCCTCGCTGGGAGAAAATAAGCTTAAACCAGGAGTGAAATTCAGCAGGTTCTGACAGGTTCTAGAGAACCGGTAGTGGAAATTTTGAGTAGTTGGGAGAACCGGCAAATACCACCTCTGGCTGGCCCCAGAGTGGGGTGGGAATGGAGATTTTGCAATATCCTTCCCCTGCCACACCCACCAAGCCACACCCACAGAACCGGTAGTTTAAAAAAATGAATTTCAACACTGGCTTAAACTGAATACTTGCAAAATGGAATTGACGTTTTTCCACCAGAGTTCTCTGCTGTAGGGGTGTCTATTACAGTAGTACCGCTGAAGGAGCAAGCTCACCTCTTGGGGCTTCTTCTGGACTTGCAGCTCCTACTGGAAGAGCACATGGAGACTGGCTGGGAGGCCTTTTCCCAGCTTTGCCAGATGTGCCAGTTGTGCCCCTACTGGGGTGAGAGAATCTTGCTATAGTGACTCATACCTGTCACCAGCAGCATAGACTACTGCAGTGTGATGTTCATGGGGCTGCAGTTGATTTAGTCCATGTGCTGATTTGGAGTATGTTACACAGTGTTGTAGACCCTACACTGGCTACTAATAGGTTTCTGGGTGCAATTTAAGGTGTCAGGGTTAACCTATAAAGGCCAACATGGCTTGACTGCTAGTTATCAACAGGACGGCATGCTCCCATGGAAATCACAGTTTGATCTACCAGGGAGAAACTACTACAGTAGTGGTGCCCCACTTTAGGGAGGTGAGGGGTGGGGTGAATCTTGGCAGAGCTGATTTTCAGTGGCTATACTGACCATATAAAGGCTAGACAAATTTTTGGCGATGAAGATGGGAGAATATTGATGTTGATAGCAATATATGCACCTAATAATAAACAAGAGTTCTATGGAAAACTACATAAAAAAATTATAGAACTGGAATATGAAAATATCTTTTTTAAATCAAGTTTTTATTTTATATTATTTATACATCTCAATGCATGGATGGTGTGATACCTGGGTATCATACATTTCAATACACATAGACATAATCTTATTACTCCTAAGTATTCCATTACTTCATATTATTTATACATGACTTTTACTATTACCATTCAATTCTAAACCTTCTTTCTATTCTTTTATGTATCTTAACATATTAATATATATACAGGTGAAACTCAAAAAATTAGAATATCGTGCAAAAGTTCATTTATTTCAGTAATGCAACTTAAAAGGTAAAACTAATTATGAGATAGACTCATTAATTGCAAAGCAAGATAGTTCAAGCCGTGATTTGTTACAATTGTGATGATTATGGCTTACAGCTCATGAAAACCCCAAATCCACAATCTCAGAAAATTA